TGCTTCTGGGCTGTGCCAGCTGATTCCTTCTGTTTGAAGTTGCAGACCCTCCCTCCATAGTCTCTTCGCTGTGTGGGTTCAGAGTGGAGGCCTAAATCCATCTTTGTCCAGATCACCAGAGAGTTGTCCTGGTGCCGTCTGTCAGACGGTCCCCAAGGACTTACTGCTCATTCCATGTGCATTAACAGGAGAGACTGGTTTTCGTGGGTTCTGTTTGTCTCTGTTTCATTATCTCACAATTCTGACTTTTTCCTTTTCTGTGTCTCTTTTTCCCTTTTATTTGATAAGGATTTCACTCTGTAGCTCAGGATATCTGAAACTTGGGGCTCTGAGTGCTGGAATTACAGGTGTGAACGACAACCGACCCAGTAACCATTGTTAATACCAAGTATAGACTGGGAAGTGCTTTGTTTCTTACTTAAGAACATTCTGAGCAGTTTCTATTTGTCCCAGCTTTATGTCCGTGGCTCTGATAAAGCACCCTAGCAGGGACATGACTACAGAAAGACAGGCATTCCCAGTCCCTGGCAGTGTGTATGCCTGTGGACTTTATGATGATAATAATGCTGGTCACTGTGGGCCAGCTCCTATGGCTGTCGTCCTGGTGGTCTACTTTCCTGGCTCCTTGAAAGCCCTTGTGTTGATGGCATGTGAGGAGACATGAGGCCCTTTTAGGTTCTATGCAGAATGTTGATTTCTGGGGTTCAACAGCAGTCAGAGCACCTTCCAGCAGGTAGACTTTGGAGTCTTGTCGTGCTTCTTGGGCTTCCTGACACTGGATTCAAGGGCACCGTGTGCCCTGGGTGGTAGTCAAGCTACACCCCTGCTCTACAGCCTTCAGTGATTATCTAGGGTTCCTTCCCTAGGTCTCCCTGAAATCTTCGGGAGGCTGACCTTGTTCCCTGTGTCCATGGTGGGCTCACTCCACTTGAACAAGTATGTGTGTGCATTATTAAATGCAGCCATAAGCATTTCAAACCTCTATCTGTTCACTCTTCCTAAATGCAATCCGTCCGTAGCACAAGTCTAACAGAACATGCACCCAGTTACATGGTTCAACAGTGGGCTACACTGAGGGCCTGGCAGGGTACCCTGGGTGACTCCAGCCTCCTCCTTGGGGGTTAACAAGCAGTTGGTGCCATGCTTTCCTCAGGTTCAAGGGAGATGACAGCACTGTGCTCACTCCATCCCCCACAGCGTCACCAGGGTTAACTCAGGAGCACGAGGAGCGAATACTGTGGAGCATCACCCAATGAGGGACTAACTTAGTGAGTCAATTAAATCCTGAGGGTTCGGCCAGGTGCAGGAGGCTGGGTGCCATGCTGGAGACAAGGCTCTAGGCACAGGAAGGGACAGGCCAGGCTGGTGGCCCTCCAGGAACTAGGGGAGAAGATGACTCAATATTGGTGAGAGAACTGTGGGAGTCTTGACTGGGCCACCATACACAGCAGTGCCATACAGATATGAACAGCCCGAACTGTTCCTTTAGTACATGAGCCCTAAGAAACAAGATAGCAGAGTGTCTCCTGCGAATGCGTGTTTCTTTGACTAATGAGTAGGGAGAGAGCTTTGCTTCCTCCTGTCAGAATTGTCACCTGATAACTACATCCCTTACGTTGTTTGTGTCGGGGCGTAACTTTGAGGGTTATTTTTAAGAAGAGATGATGTTGTTTAGAAAGGTTAAACTTCAGACTCATCCATTTCACCACTTTTAATTAAGAAGTCCTTCCAGCCCCCAAGTACTGGGGCTCAACCCAGGGCCTTCAACCACAGCTAGACAGACGCTCTACCACTGAGCCATGTTCCCAGCCCGTCGCTGGGGGATTCTAGGCAGGGGCTCTAACACTGAGCCACACCCCAGTCCCTCACTGGGGGATTCTAGGAGGCACCTCTATTAGTGTCTGGGAGCTTAATTCCTGTTGCTGTGGACATTACTAACAACAGGATGGTCAAGTTTCAATAAAACTTTATTTAAGGTACCATGCTCTGAATTTCATAATTTCTACAGCATACCAAGTATTGTTGGGGCTTGTTGAAAACTAATACATTTATTTTTAAAACAATGACAGGTTTTGTTTTGTTTTGAGTTTTTTAAAATATGGTTCTCCTGTGTCCCTGACACAGAGCCCATATACAGCAACGATACTTTGCTGTTCTACATGAGAATGGGGGCTGTGGGGACTGCATCGGGGATGTACCTGCTCAGCCAGCACCATTCTATAGACCTGCAACACTGGTTCCAAGGCTCAAAACAAACGGCTGACATCTCCCCAGAACAGGATGCCGTGAACAGCTGTGTGGGGACACCTGAGACAAAGTCCCCACATCTCCTTTCTCATTTCAGCTACTCGGAGACCATGCTTGTATCCTAGTTACTTCTGAGTAGACCAAGGCCTGGGAGGTGCAGTCCTCCCAAAGAGAGCAGGGACTGAGACTAGCCTGTAAGTCAAGTAAAGCTGCCAAGCTGGTTTCAGCTTGAGAGCACTGGGCATCCCTGAGCCTCCCTCGCCACCACAGCTGACCTAGGTACCAGGGTCAGGGCCATTGGTGTGAAGAATACATGAATCAAGGCTGGAACAGTAGCGACCCTGAAGACACATGGCCCAAGCAGAGTGTAGCAGCTCATGGTGCCTCAGGCCCAAGTGTCAAGTGCTTAATCCTCAACTTCAGTCGGGCTTAATGGTGCATGCTTTTAATTATAGCACTTAGGAGGCTGAAACAGGAGAATGGAGAGTTCAGGGCCAATCTGAGCTACAGAGGAAGAACCTGAGTTAATCCATACCCCGTCCCAAAGCCCCAAACTAGGCCCTGGAGAGAACCTTCACTTCTAGGACAGAAACGCTGAGGATAAAGAAAAATTTGACACAAGCCAGCTTCCTTTCCCTCTTCCCCAGAGACACCTCTGGGATCCGCTGGGCCCAGCCAAGCAGTGACAAATTTGATCACCTCCAATGTGTCACTCTGACGAGATGAGGTTGTTTTAATTTAAATGCATGCCTAATTAAGCTGCAATTAACCAGCTCGCTGGCAGGGGCCACAGATAGCAGAGGACCACACGTGGAGACAGGGAAGCAATGGGAGGCTGGGCTTTGGTCCCTGGGTCAGCTTTTTTCAGGAGGAGCCAGAAAACCCCTGAACTGTCTCCCTACACAGCCCAGCTGGATTCTGTGCTCCTGAGATGGCAGGTGGGCACATCTGTTGCAGAGGTCTCCTCCATCTGCCTGCCAATGCTGGTGATGTGGAAAGTTCAGTAGTGTAATGGCTGTAGCCTGGAAGCTCAGGGCTGCTAGAGCTCCTTTCCACTCTACTGGAGAGAGCAAGTGGTCTGAGACCCAAGGGAACCGGGCTCGAGACTAGGTTGTACACTTTTACATATCTGCACACTCTGGTGTACAGAAAAACAGACACACGGGACTTAAGAGGGTCAATGTTAAGTTCCTTCAGTCTGAAAACTTGACATGGGAGAAGGGTAGAGGTGAAGGAGTGGGCAAAAAGGATATGCACTTCATACACACACACACACACACACACACACACACACACCCCTCTGACACTGCTCATGAGAAGAACAACAGTGTAAGCCAACATGGTCTTCTGAGCTCCTGAGAGGCACAGGGTCCTGACCCATCCTATCTGCCACTCACAGATGACACCAACAGCGACACAGGAACAGCTGGACTCACAGAGGACACTGACAAACTGGAGACCTGTCAAACCAGTGCACCTGAGGCTGACAGGGGTTCCTATAGCCAGACAATAAGCCTGTGGGTAATAATGCAGATGACAATGACAAGTCATATGGAGGACCTTCTCTATGGTCACACTGTGGCACTCTGTGTGGAGCCCCAAAGTACTGCTTGCTGCTCACAGCCCCTCAGACCAACAGAGGCATAAGGGAGGGTGTACCAGCCATTCCTGCTCAGACTCTGGGTCCTCAGGGTAGCAGGTCCCTGTTGCATGCCTTCAACCATCTCAGGGTCCCTAGGTTCTGTGTAACACTGTCTCAGGAACCCTCCATGAAGGCCCAGGGCACATGCAACAACCAGAAGGAAGACAGAACACGAATGCAGGAATGAGAGACCAGAAGGACCTGTCTCTGCCACTCCACACTGAGATCCACACTGCAGGAAGGACTCTCTGATGACAGCTCCACCCTCCCTGGCTCAAGGACTCTCACTGGAAATGCCAAGTGCCTCCACAGGACCAGATGACACACAAGTACACAGAAAGGAAACAGGAGTGCTTCACAGGATGAAAAGTAGTTGAAAACCACAAACGAGACATAAACCCCAGACAACAGTGGCCCATAGCCTCAGCACAGCACATGTGACCTGAACTGTCCCTAAGGGTTAGGAGACAAGAGTGGTCTCAGGGTAGGCAGGGTTGCTGCAGGACCTGCCTCCAGATGCCCTTGTCCCGGTTCCCTCCCCATCCAGGCTGAGAACAAACCCCTCGCTTGCACACACAAGTTTGCAAGTCACAGCTACAGAGCAAAGCAGCTGGGGCAGGATCTCAGGGTTGTCATGCTCACTGAGGCTCAGTGACTGATGTCAGTGGCCACTACAATGCATCAGGGATGACAGGTACATGTTCTGATGGTTGTCACCCTGATTTACAGACTGGAGGGGGCGGTGAAAGTCACGGCCTGAGTTAGTTAGCTTTGCTCTTCCCTGGAATCTAGGGCCTGGTTGCAAAGGGCCCTGGGCTCTGTGACGTGTACTTAGGCCAGTGAACGATGGCCCTGTTTTCTTGGAGGATTGGATTTACTCATGATTAATGGGCCACATATAAACTGATAAATGGTATTAATTTGTTTTGGGGGGTCTGAGAAGATCTTAGCTGCTTGCAAACTTGGATGACTAACCCTGTTTGTGAAGCCTGCAAGGAAGCAATATGTCTCAGTTGGCTGCAAGGGCCAGTGGGCTCTGTCCATCCACTCAGCCCAGATGCCCTATGTGGATTTCTCTCCAGAGACCAGAGGGCTAGGTGAGGGCACCTACCTGCCACCTCCTTAGATGAGGGTAGGCTTGAGGCAGCCTCCAGATCAGCAGGGATGGGGCCCCCTCTCTCCAGGGCATGCACGAGTCCCCGAAGTCGCTCGCACTCCCCCTGCAACCGGTCATGGTCCTCACGCTGACGCTGTCTGGCCATGCTGGTTGGGTTCAAGCTCATGTGGAGCACTTTGGTTCGACTCTGGTTGTAGTCACCCTGGAGGAGTGAGCACAGCACGGGGTCACTGGGTGTGGATGAGGAGCTCGAGAGCAGAGCACAAGCGAGGAGCATCCATCCAGGCAGCTGGGGAAGGAGCTTTTGGTGGAACACGGGTGGGGGGTGGCAGCAGCTGCGACAGCCATCTCAGCACCTCTGTCCAGTGTGTGCAGGAGCGCGTGCCCCTTCCCAATCTGGATTCTGGTCTCTGGGAGCACAGAGGCCACTCAGCCTGACAAGTGACTGAACTAGTACAGATGACAAGCAAAGCAGTCTTCCTCCCCTAGGGCCACCACAGGTGCTCCGGCACGCCAATTCCCTGCTCAGTCTACCTAAATCCCAAGTTCAATGCCAAGTTCCAGAAGGAATGAGAGGCACAGGCTTGTAATCCCAGCTACACAGTAGGCTGAGGAAGAATTCTACACATTAGGCCAGTTAGGGCCATAGACTGAGTAAGGAGCAGTCTGAGCTATTTGTCAAGATCCTGTCTCAAAGGAAAAAGAACTGGAGATGAGGCTCAGTGGTACAACACTTAGGAAAACCCAGCAGTAAGGGGATAGGATATGGCTCAGTGGTAGAGCCCCTGCCTAGAATCCCCCAGTGAGGGGCTGGGATGTGGCTCAGTGGTAGAGCCCCTGCCTAGAGGGGTGTAGCTCAGTGGTAGAGCCCCTGCCTAGAATCCCCCAGTGAGGGCTGGGGTGTGGCTCAGTGGTAGAGCACCTGCCTACCATGTGTAACCTGCTGCATTTACAGTCACCCCTGCCCCCGATCCTGATGAGTAATCAGGCTCACAATGTTTATCCTGTGAGGCCTGTCATCTACCCCTCTCAACAAGAGGTCTGTGAGAAGGAAGCCCAAAAATGAACAAAAGAAGAGTGCCTTTGCTCTCTAGAACGGCTTTAGATTTACAGAGGATCTATGACTGCAGGAAGGAGAGTTCCCACAGACCTCACTCTGGTGCCTACAGCTAACAGTGCCCATGAGTGGCACCCACCTGTCATTGCTCCCCATAGCCAGGGACAACCACAGAAGAGCAGTGTGGCTGATTCTAGTAGCTGTCTCAGCATGCTCCAGAAGCAGTGACTGAGGCTGAGCGGCACTGGAGAGAGGGTGGTCAGGATGCCTCTATGATATCTATCTCTCACTACACCCAGACGCCAATTCCAGGGAAGGCAAGTCAAGATATAAAAGGCAATATTTAAAAAAATATATATTTATTTATTTTATGAGTGTTTTTCCTGTAGTACATTAGGTGCACTACATGAATGCCTGATGTTCATAGAGGTCAGAAGAGGGCGTTGGGCCCCTGGAACTGGAGGTCCAGTTGTAAAGCACCACATAGGTGCTCTCCAGTCGTCCCTCCAGCGCCCAAAAGTAAGGAAGTGAGAAAGCACTGCCGGAGGATGCACTGACACGAGAGAAACAAACGGAAGTTGCGGCAGGGGAATTATGAGTTTGAGAATCATGGGTTAATCTGGGTTACATAGTGAGACCCTGTAGCAAAAAGGCAAAGGAAAAAAAATAGGACTTGGGGGGGGGGGCAGGAAGAAGCACACAGTATGCTTGAACGTCCTCTGGGCCCCAGGGAAGGGATGAACATCAGGGCGGAGCTGCCCTTCAAAGTTCATCTGCCTGGTCAGTTCACAGCTAGACGTCATTCGCAACTCAAAAGTCATCAAAATATCAGCCACTGAAAAATGGGCAAGACGCATGAACAGGGACTTTAACAGATGGAACCCAAAGAGCCAATGGGCATAGAATGGTATACACACGAGCCATCAGGAAAGCCTATCCCGCAGTCAATGCAGGCCACATGCCCAGAGTGAAGCAGGCATCCCATGCAGAAGAGTAGTCCATTCTGGCCGGGCACTGAGTGGCCAGTGGTGTGGGGACTACACTGTACCACACAGCAAAGGGACTCACGTACCTCCTGCACTTCCTGAACTGTGTCCAAGACAAGTTCTGTGGGACCTGAGGTGACTCAGGAAGTCACACAAGAAGTTAGTTGTCTTCTCTGACCGACCTCTCCTCAGATGCCCCTACTCTTGGGTATGTAATAGGGCTGCTACAGAGTGCGGGATGGAGGTGTGGAGATCTCTTCGAGGGACTGGGAGGCAGAGAACTGGCCCGTGACAAGCCCTATGCTGCTGGGCCTGGGATCCAATCCTCAGGACCCAGGTGCAGTAGCTGCTCAGCAAGAGACACTGATCTCCCTGTCCATACACACCATCACCCAGTGTGGTCCTGGGGATGACTTCAGCAGGCCTTGAAAGATCTAAGAGGTCTTTTAGTGATAAACATATAAGGGTTTCCTGGCTTCTCTGGCCTTAGTCCACCCTCCCATGATGTCTGCTGAGGAAGCAGGGGAAACAGCCCACCCATTCAGACCACTGGATACACTGGGCAGAGAAGCTGGGCGATTCACATTAGTGAGGCAGCCTGTGCTCAAGAAGCCTCGACATCCCATGAAATAAGTTGTCATAGGCCACTGCCCTTCTATATCACCAAAGGGCAGTATGGGTTATACCTGGGGTACCTCACCCAGGCCACACCCCTCCAGATACGCTTCTGGGGACAGCAGGGTGGGAGGGAGCGCGGGCAGGAGAAGAACAGTAAGAGTCTTCACACAAGCAAACTGCCAGCCTACAGTCTTCTAAGATGGGTGTGTGTGTTTGGTAAGCACGGGGTGGGGGGAAATGGGGAGTAGAAAGTGCTCAGAGCCACCCGCAGAGAGCAGTAGGGCTTGCAAACTTGGTTTCCCAGGCCATATCCTGAGTATATTCTCATCAGGGGGAGGGGAAGGAAGAGGCCACTAGTCAGAGCTGGGGAGAGGGAGGGAGGGGGAGCAGCCTGGCGGTTTCCTGCGAGAGAACCTTGTAAAGCCCTGGGGATGAAGAGGCTCCTGGAAAGCGGACTCCCTGGCTTTCGGGTTGAAAGGATGTTACTTGTGCAATTTCAACAGTCTGTTATTCCGTGCAATTTCACCAGTCGGGGAGATAACCAAGCATGTGAAATCCATCACCCACGCCTGCTGTGACAGCCCTGGGGCTGGACAAGTACCTCGGTTTCCTTTCCCAGGCCAAGCACTAGGAGCAGGGCAGGGAATTGGAGCCCAGCCTGATACTGCCTGTGGAGCCAGGCGGCTTCAGAGCTGCTCGCCTGTCCCAGTGCCCACTGGGTAGCTCAGCGAGAAAAGAGCCACAGACTTCAGGCGTGGGAACTGGCAAGGGAGGAGTGTCATGTGTGCCAATGAAACCACGCTCACCCAAACATAGAGATTTTCGTGTGGCCTAAGATGTTCATGATTTTTCCTTTTAAAGACTTTAAAAACCATAACTCAAAACTTAGTCTGTGTGCTATACAGGCTTACAGGCTGGGGCTGAGGAATCTCAAGCTGAGATGAGGGCTGACTGTGGCCTGGAACAGCTCCCACAGCCCCATACTGAGCATTCAATACAGAAGACACCACCAACTCCTGGGGAGAGCTGGGTGCGCTGGTATATGCTTTTATCACAGCACTCAGGAGGCAGAAGCAGGAGGGCCTCTAGGTGTTTGAAGTCAACCTGGTCTACATAGTTCCAGGACAGACAGGGCTACATAATGAGCGTGAGTGTGTGTGTGCGTGTGTGTGTGTGTGTGTGTGTGTGTGTGTGTGTGTGTGAGAGAGAGAGAGAGAGAGAGAGAGAGAGAGAGAGAGAGATCAACTTTGGGGAGGAAGGAGGCAATCAGCACAGCTGAGTCTGTCCAGCCTGAGACTCTCCTGCCATGAGGAATGCTAAGACAAGACACTGTCTCACACTGTTGAGCATGAAGTCACAGCGATGCCTCAGTGCCTACTCAAAACAAGTACCCAGCTACGAACTGACAGGCAACAAGTGACAGCCCATCACTACCCCCGCCGTCCCCTCTCCGCAGCACCTGCACCTTATGACACACTGCGTCATCTTAAACACTTGTTTTATTAGCTGTCCCCTAGCAGAGGTCAGCTCCGTGAGGACAGGGCTGTCTGTCTTGTTCCTCCCAGTGCTGCTGGTACTGATAATGTGTCTGCTATGGCACAGAGTCTACTGAATGAATGCTTAACAAATAGAACATTTCTCGGGCCAGAATGTATTTCACAGGCTCAGAAATCAGATCACCAACTGAAGCATAAAGAGTCAAGAGGCCCAGAGAAATGGCCCCGCCTCCATCCTGTGACAATGCAACATCTCTGCTCCTGAGTAGATACGGGCCACTGATGCAGGCAGAGCAATCCCAATTGAAGAACTCTTGTCCCGAAACAGCCACCTGGAGAGGCAAGGGCTGCAGGGGAAGTAGCAGCATCTACATACATCACATAAATGGACGAGGCAGAGACAAGGGCATCACCTGGGTCTGCAGTCCTGGGTGCTCGCACTTGGCATCCAGTACCTAGGTTTCTGTGCCCAAGTCATGTGGCAGGGCTGAAGGAAAGGGGTTCCAGGGCTTGGTCTGAGAAGGGAAGCTAAGCGGCAACGGTGGGGTGGCCACAAGGTGCAGGAGGTAAGCTGTGCGAGTGTCATCTATGTTAAGGCTACTGCAGCATCAAGACTACCAGAGAGAGATGCGCTACTACTACCATCAGATACGCTTTGCTGCAAAGAGGGGGTGCGATAGGCCTCAGAACCAGGTCAGTGCCTTCTAAAAATGTGTCAGTCCACCTACCGAGAGGGGATTGTTAGATATGTGTGCTTCTGTGCCTGGGCATGTTTGAGCACTTTAGGAGCCAGGCAGCCAAGTGCCCTCCATCTACAGCCGATGCAACAGAGACCACTTGAGAAGAAAAGACGGGCCAGGCTTATGTCCACGGCACCAGATCCTGTCTTGGCACTGGCTTAGCTCTGCTTCCTCCCCAGGTACACCCACTGCCTGTTGCAGACCAGGGCATCCGCGCCAATATGAAGGAGCCCCATCTAGGGGGCCGGTGAAGCATGCGAGACAAGCAGATGGGAGCGAGTGAGCAACATCGCTGAGTCTGCTGC